AACAGTAACCTTAAGCTTTACTACGGGCTACTTTTCCTCAGTGCTCGTGTGTTTTTAAGTGCCGGCAATGGTCGCCTGAAAGTACTTGTCGCGGCATCTTAAGCCATAGGCGGACTATAGGCACTCCGACCTTCAAGCCCGATGCCCAACAGAAGGATCAGGGGTTGGTCACCAGTGTAGAGAGAGGGTATTTTGTTCTGTGCAGAACAAGGCGGCAGCTGGACGAGAACACCTTTCCGGCGCCGGCAGAGCAGGCATCTGTGTGCCACCGCAACAGACGCCAGAGCGCCTTGAGCGAGTGCGTGTGTGAGTTGGCTTTGAAGCTGATTGGAGAGTGCGCTTAGCTGTGATTAGCTGAGAAACAGACAGCCACTGGCACGCGCGTTCAGGTACCCGCGTGAGCCCCAGGTGTTGCAGCAGGCGTCCGAGTGGGGCCGCTACAGACTCAAAGGAAAGGGAACTGTGGTCGTATGAAACAACAAATGTGTAGGCCTATATCCTACTCAAATAGATATAGTAGGTATTATTTCTAGTCAACGGATCTTTGGGTGTCATCTCCCGATTGTTGCCCCCTTTGCTTTCATTGGTTTAGAAGGATTCCCATTTAGTTAAATTATAGGAAAAGCCTGCTTGTTAGGCATGCTACGGGGACCTTTGTAGATTCATGCATATCTTACGAGAAACCAATACTTGAACTCGTCGAATTTTTGAATTCTGGAAAGCGAAATACCCCATTTTGACCATTTCAATCCACTAAGAAGCAATGCCATATAAAATGATTCTCTAATATTATAATCAACTGGCAATCGTCTCGTGAGTTTTAGATTGATTGATTATAAAAACCTGCATGGACAGTCAGCCTACTCTATTAGAGTCGATGAGATTAATGTTGTAGTAGGCTTGGGCGGATAACTCGATAAAAATATGATTAAACTCAGTACAGGCCTCATAACTTAGTGGTAAGTCTGTCGACTGTACTCAGGCTTTGCCCATATTATCGTGGTTTATAATTCCACCGTGTTCACACCGAGGTCAAATGAATCGTTCAAATATGACAAAAATATCTATTAATCAAATGGAACTGGTAGCCATCTGGTGCTTAGCAGATCCCGCCTGAATACTCAGTCCACTGTATCAGAATTGACGGATCCCGTACGTCACAATAGGCTGGGCTGGCAACTTAGTCCAAACGTGAGAACTCAAGGATCTGGGTCGGGACCTCGTAGCTCAGGTTGTTAAAGCGTTGGCTGCACTTAGTTCGTGTTTTTTTGTGTCGTGAATTTGAATCCCACTGAGATCCCCACGTTTTCATAATTGGATATTCAGGTAATGCAATCAAATCTGCCTAAACATTAAATTTCGTTGACTTCTTTTGACTGAGCTAAATTACAATAGATGTGGTATCCCATGAAACGTGGACTAAATTTCTGAAATGTGTTTTCAATTCGAAAAGATTATTTAGGTAGGATTGTCATATTTATTATCATGATATTTTCAAGATATTTGAGCCACATCAGGATGCCGGCTTTCGAATGAGCCGCTTTTTGACCGCTCGCATAAACCACATTCCGTAAAAAAAATGACACGTTAATTGGTATGAATTTTCTCCCACTGACTTTCGATACCCCTATAAATTCAAATATATCTTATAGCGACACTTCTGAAGGTTTTGTTACAAAAGCCAACTATTTAAATGTCCAAAGAATCTACACAATCATAGAGATTATTGTCTTCGTTTTGTTACTGACAGGCGGGTGGTTTCTCCGCAACCGATGATCTCATCATCCGCTCATCCAATCTACGTCTATATTTATCAATTAAGCTTTTAATCACTTTCATCGACTAAGACAGTTACCAAGAGGAATGACCTTGATTATAATCGGACTAATTTTCATTTTCGATATTTTGGAGGGATTATTGTTTTGAATCCTCTAGGGGTGGTTTTTTGTTAGGGAGGTCTTTGAAGCCACTGAATGACTACATGTCGGACAGAGACGGTGTTCGAACACTGTTAGATCAGTTTAGTTTGTATCCATTAGCTTATGGAAGGGAGTTAGTCCTTGTAAATAAAATGTGTACATCTTTAATTTCAAATTCAAAAACTTTGTAAATCGCATTGATGAACACAAAGAAAAATGCGAACACTACAATTCCGAGGAGAAAGTGTAGATTTCCTTGCGGAGCTTCGCTGAGATTTCACAGGCTTATTTTCTCAGCGTGTTTTCCTACCTATGATGTCTCAAGGTCTTGGCAAATTCTCCTAATTTTATTAATTAGAATGCTTAACAACGGGATATTTTATGTGCCAAGGGGAGGGGGGAAACAGACATGGCGTTCCCCTGTCAGTTTCCCACACTGATTCCTATGCCGGCAGAGACTTGCTGGTCTCAAGAATTCCCCGGCTCCAGTATTACATGGTATTTGCATCCTAAACTATGGACTATCACTGATGCCGGCGGCAGGTTTAGACGAAATGAGTTTTGAAGTGGAGGACAGAGTAGTTCGGTGCTGTCTTGCGAGGAATGTTTGCTATGTCCTGTCATTGACACACGACCGTTTGATCATCAAGACCGAGGATGCCCACCGCCTGCTACACAGCAAGTTGCACCAGGCACGGTGACCTGCGCGTGATTTAGTTTATAGTTGGTGCATAATTGCGCAGCACCTACCGCATGTCCTCCTCCTCCTCCCCCACCCAAGTCCGGTGCCAAGACAAAGTCAAGAAGACCGGAGGCGGGAGAGGGTGCAGGTGGCTGGCACGGTCGGACCCGCACCTAGGCGTGCCACCACACCCACCTCCTGGTTCACAACCATCACTCAACCAGGATTTCAGCCAAAAACTGCACAACGGGTCAGAAGGAGAAGAATGACTGGGCAGCCATGCCCACGCCCTGTGTACCCAGCGGGAACGCGAGCGCATCCACCAGCAGGGAACAAGGTATCAGAGAATTGCCAGTGCACACTAGGTTGCGAGGGTCATGGTTTGATGATCCTGGCATAGCAGATGCTTACAGACTTTTAGGGTAACACGTGGCCCTACATTTGTCTGGGCCGCCACGATTCAAGGCTGGGTAACCAAACAGTCCTCGCCTGAGAGACAACTCCTAACGCACACACTCCGTGACTGCCTGGCTCTCAGCCCACCAGTCTGCCACTCCACACAAATACACGCACACAACTGGGCAGACTGCGTGAGCTGAGTTGGGGTGTCAGTCAGCAGCCCTCTATGCCACGGCACTTGGCGCAAAGTTATAGCCTCAGACTCGGATCATACATGCAGCCATATGGAGGGGGGAGTTGAGAAGCGAGGGAGGTGGCAATTGGATGTCTGTGATAGGTGATGGTGTTGGGAGGTGCAGGTGCTGGTGGGGGGAAGTTCGATAGTGTCGTGTAGTCGGCGTTCGTCTACCGCAATTTTTCGTGAATGCACATGTGTCCTAATAGGTCCACGCGATGAGTGAATGTGCGAGATTTTACGCTAACAACAACAACACCCCAACAGGGGCCAGAGAGACGAGGATGACTGGACAGCCATGCCTACCATCTGAATACTCAGCGGGAGCGTAAGCGCATCTGCCGACAGGGAACCAGGTATCCGGGTGGTCGAGTGACCATGTCTGCGCGCGCCACATGCACGACCTGGCCCCCAAAACACACACAAACACCAGGATTTCACACAACGGGGATTGAGCGGCGTATCTCTCACTTACGTGAGAGTGCCGTGGAAGGAGCTGTATCGATCCGGCCCCCAGCCCACCAGTCCGCCACTCCACACAAAACACATACAACTGGACGGACTGCATGGACTGAGTTGGGGCGTCAATCAGCAGCCTTTCTCTCCACGACACTTGAAGCGTCGGGATAGTCTCAGGCTCGAGTCACCCATGCATCAGGAGCCGCATGGGGATCGAGTCGAGACGCTCAATTCCCACTTGCGTGGGAGGTGGCAGTTGGGTGCTTACGGTGGTTGATGTTGGTGTGTGATGAGATGGTGGTAAGGGAGGAAGGGTGGGATGGTGTGGTGCAGCCGGCGGTTGCCTACCGCTGGTTTTCGTGGATGCACATGTGGCCGAATAGACCCATGCGGAGCATGAATGTGCGTGGGCAGTGTGGACAGTGAAGACGGTTGCGGCGGGTACAGGTGGGTGCTTCGGGCACTGGTTCGCCAGTCTCTGTGCGATGGCTTCGCACATGACCGACCAGGCCTATGCGTGAGGTGAATGTGCGTGGACAGTGGGGGCATGAAAGCTCGGTGGTGTCTGTGTATGCTAAGGCGGTGGTGATGATGGTGGTGGTCGCACAGGGCGACGAAGTGAGGATGGGACTGGGCGTGATGGTTGTGTTGGATGTGGTGGGTGTGTCGGGACTGCGGTCAATTCCGCTCTCGTGGATACGCATGTGGCTGAATAGGCCCTTGCGACGCATGAACGTGTGAGGGCGGTGTGGACAGTGGAGACGGCTGCGGCAGGTGTAGCTAGACGCTGCAAGCATTAGTTCGTCAGTTTATGTGCTATGGATTCGCAAGTGACCGACCAGGCCGATGTGTAAGGTGAAGGTGCGGTCGCAGTTAGGACAGGTGCAGTCCAGGTCCTCAGCTCTGTTGTCGCAATTGTGATGCTGGTGTTTGTTGCTGTGTCAGGATTGTGTGCAGTGTTGAGATGCATGGCAGACGCCACAAAGGTCGACGTTGAGGCATTGGAGGAGGGGGAGCGGAAGGAGGAGGAGAATGGAGGTGGTGGTTCAGGAGGGCGGTCAGAATTAGTTGGCAGTGGGGAGAACGAGGTAGATGTGGACGGAGGAAAGACGGTTGGTGCAGTCCGAGTGCTGCAGTTAATTCGAAGGTGTCCAACAAGTCTGATTCGTGCCCGGAATGTCCGTTGATACCGTAGACACCTTGGAGGCAGTTGTGCGTTGGCATTGCGAGGTGGGCGCAGCTCTCTCTCTCTCTCTCTCACACGCACCCAGAGTCTGAATACTATAAATATTTTCGTCCAATCACAATGCTTTATTGCCGTCCTGATACAATCACAGTTGAACTTTTAGGTTTTGACGGGACGAGCAACGTTCTGGCTGGAAAACTCTATGGGATCCCTGTGTGTGGGACACACTCTCACTCCTTCGTTTCGTCCTTCACAGCCGCACCTCTGGGGTAGGGGTTTTTCATTGACAAATTTCATTTTAATTCCCCCCCCCCCCGGATCGTAGGCCGAAGGCCCACCCGAAGGTAAGAACTCAGACGGGACAGTCTCGTAGAATCTCTCACCCAGCGAGAGTTGTTTTGGCATTGCAAGGATACGCGGAATGTATGAAAGTTACCTGCACAACCTCGATACCACAAGCTGCGTAAATAAACGGATAATTCTTGAGTGCCATTTAGCAATGGCTTCCACATAGTGTTCCATAGCACTGATGTGTTGCGACAACAATCCCATAAACACCAGGATTCCCATTTTCTGAGTGAAGTTTAACCTCGTGTTGACTTGCCGCTTTTCAGTTAGGGAGAACTTCGTCAATCTTGGCTGTCAATTCCAACATCGGAGTTCTCAATGGTAGGTGGGATCTGAGGTTCTGTTGGTTACTACTTGCCGGTTGTCATTGGTAGATGTTGTAAATCAACGAGTTTGTTTTGCTACCACCTGCAAGTTAAACCTTCCCCTCAGGGCCTATAAACTCATAAAAGTTGCAAACCCCTTGTATCCAACAGTTGTTTATGTTTCAGTAGTCGACCTATCGGCTGTCCTGCCGAAAACGGCCTTCACCAGACCAGTAGGCACACGGTTGAGCCGTTGGCCGACAGTGCAGTGTGGAAAAGCCTGGACTACCAACTGACCAATGGCCGAGAGCTAGATTATTATTATAAATATTAAAAATGCCTATTGTTTTTATCACCCGAAGCAAATTTTTAGTACATTCAAACACATGGTTATCAAAACTGTCGGAAATTGTTCTGTCTGGTCCCAGACTGCCTTTTTTGATTCCAGACGCTGACGCCGAAGACCCAAGCTGCGAAAGATTCACGTCTCACATGAATCAGAATAATGACCAAGAGATTGCATGCTGAGGAGGGTCGCGGACCCAACAAAACCATTGCCTTATTAAGCGTAGCTCGGTCATAGATAGTAGCCTATTATTCATGCAGGAATGGGCGCACACTGCTCCAGTGGATTCTCGAAGTAAGAAAACTCCCAGTGGTCGACAGATGTCTTGAACATGCAGAAACCTACCAGGTTGACAGGGATCTGATAATGGACAGGGAATGACAGGGAATTTGGGTAGATTGTTCCAAGACTGTTTCGGCGAATTCTGCCTTCATTCAGCCAAGCAGGAGTTAAGTGACCGGAACAGGACGTTTTAAGGTCTGACTAGCAACAGCAGTGGGGGACCCATTGAGGTGTCAAACACCTCGCAGCTGCTCACACAGAAGCAAAAAAATCGGAAAAAACACGTTTCTGGGCTTTTAAATCGCACCTGTGTTGCTAGAATGGCATCTAGTAGCCCTAAAATACGGTATAATAACTCTGCCACATAGATTTCTTACTACTTGTAGTACCAATTTCTTGTAAAATGGGCATTAGATGGTTAGTCCACAGTAGTTTTTGGTCCTCGACCGGAATGTTCACATGTCAGACATTAAAATGTCTTGTCCCGGGGACTGAACTCCATGTCCTGCACTGAATAATTTCTGAAATTATTCGTTTGACATATATATATATATATATTAGCAGAGCGCATGGACGACATGGAATGTGGGCAGATTCGCCGTCATTCAGCGATCATAATCCTGGCCAGCAGCTGCAACCAGAAACACAAACATGCACTCCTACGCGGCGCAGATGGTCCACAGATGGCGCCGAACCAAAGTCCATCAGTGCCTCGCCACCTGTCATTTTCCGTCGTTGCAGATCGGGTATTTACTCAATCAGGAATGGGCGCACACCAATCTATTGGCTTCCCGAAGCAAACAAGCTCCGCATGGGTGACAAAGGCCACGAATAGGCAACCAACCACTAGGCCGAAGTCAGCCAAGTTATAATAGCGGGGAGGAGGGACGACAGAGAATTTGGGTAGATGTATACAGTACTATGGTAGAGAGGCGTTCACCGATCGTTTCTACAGAATTCACTCGTCCCGTTGTGCCTGAGGGCCCTCTCTCGATTCCAACCGGCAGCCGCACAGCAGTGCATAATATTGTCTTTGTCGGTAATACCATTCTGATACAGTACTGCTTCGGTCTTATTCTGCCTTCATTCAGCCAATCATAACCCTGGACAGCAGCCGGGACCAATAACACAAACCTGCGCTCGTACACAGCGCAGATGCTTCTAGGGTTCTGGATTGGGACGCAAAGCACAACGGGAAAACATGTCACGCCGTAAGCTGACCGATGAAGGCTCCGCTACCGTAGTTAATATTCCAAATCCTACAGGACAAATGACCCGTGGTTCAGTGGTAGTGAATTTGACTACTTAGCGTTCTATGATGAAAGAACCTAGTTACGTGTTAGGTGGATCTGCTAATTACGGCTAATAAGCCAGAAAAGAATATCGCTGTCTCTATTGTTTTTATCAGTACCCTCCACAATGCATATATATAAAGGGTAAACTACATGTGTCCAGGAAACTGCCTTTTTCAGTCCGAACCGCCCTATTTTTTCATTCGCCGATTTCTAGAAGACACAGTTACTCAGAACGACTAAGGCTGTAGCACGATTGCAGTCCGTGTAAAATTACTTAATTTTGCAGATTACATTCATGCTCTCATGGTCCATTTTCAAGACGTTCGGGTTGTAATGGCTGAGACCCTTTGAGATCCAAAAGTTCTTGCGTATGCCTAATTTTGTCATGCGACTTTCTTGTCGTTACCGGAGGTTTTTCGCCAAACGTACGGTTTGTAAATCTCTGCTATTTATTTCGAAGTGAAAAGTTTTAAACCAAAATCGTTCCTTTTTAGTGTCTATAAGTGTTTCAACTCTCCATCCGTCCTAACTACTAAGCATTCCAGCGAAATACTGTTTTTTAATGGAAAAGTCGTTACTTTTTGGGATGGACGGCACTGCATCCAGTTCTCAAAACAAATTCTGTAAACTTGGTTTCTCCGATGAGGTCACCTTATTTTTTTTCTCCAAAAGGAATTCTTCGACTGCTCCGAACAGGTTCCTCCAAAAACCATCGGATCAAACGGTAGCTGGAGAACCCGCTGCGGCGACCCCGGTTGAAGCTGCGACTTTCGATACAAGTCAGCTCGCCGACGCTTCTAAAAAGTGGCTTCTGCGTCTTGTCACCACACTTGACTTCAGCATTGAGGAAGTGAAACCGGAGGAACTCAGTGCATTCGTTCATTACGCGGCCGCCTTCCCTTCATCCTTCGTTGGTCTAGTGGATACTTACAGCGTACTTAAGTAAGATCGGATGATTTTCCCCACTGTCAGCCACTTGACCAGTTATTTTTTCGTTTTTTGTTTGTCATTTGCGCGGTTCTTTCCGACGTAGAGGTCCTGAAACCCATGGCAAATCTGCACTTTGGGCTGTCATAATCCGTTCTGGAACTTCGTAATAACACCAACAGTATGCAAGCTCGGAATTTTCCCGAACCCCCGACAGTTAGACCGTCGTGCCCGGCAGTGACCACCATGAGTTCCACAGCAAGGTGCAACAGTCACGGTAACTTGCGCGTAAATGGATGTTGACCTGCGCGACCTCTACCGCACTGTCTCCTTCTCCCTCCCCCCCCCGTAGGCTCAGTGTAAAAATATAGTCAAGAAGACTGGAGGACCCAGGTGGCTGGCGCGGCCGGGCCCGCACCTGGGCGTACCACAACACCCCTGGTCCACGACAGAAATTTGAACAAAATTTTAACCAATAGCAAGAGCATCACAACGGGTGAGAAGGACGAGGATGAATGGGCAGCCACGCTCACGACATGTATACTCAGCGGAAACGGAGGCACATCCACCGACAGGGAACCCGGTGTCAGAAAGCGCGCACCAGACTGCGAGGACCATGGTTTGCTGACTATGGCATGGCAGACACATACAGATCTTTAGGTCCCAAACCACCAGCACGGTAGAGAAAAGCACGATCAGCTATGAAGAAAATATTTTTTTATAGGCAGGTCGTTCTCATTGAAAATCCGCGCGTATTTATAGCATCCCAATCAGGTTCGTAAGAATTCTACCCAATCCGCTCCAAGAAAAAATGCTAAAGTAGCCGAGCAACTTCTCGAAGACACGGACCAATCGGGTTTCAAGGACACATCATGGTTCCAGCCAATGGCGAGACAGTGTTGAGTACGTGCGTGTTGTACGCAGACAACACGCAGGCGGGACACACGGACGTCTTTTCCAGAGAGACCGAATGACCCCTTTCACGAACGTGGGCATTCAAAGCATGGGCATGTCTTGATTCTCACATTAGTATCAGTGTAAATGTCGGTATTCTCTCTTCAGTAAACCGGTAGTCATCACAAGCATTCGTGTCCGCCAGAAATCGGAATACTTGAAAACGCGTTCTTGGGCAGTTCTAAACATCGTCAGCAAAGATTGGTGTCCATCGATCGAGTCAGATTAAGAGACAGAATGCGGAGTGATTCCCATACAGACTAGAGTCCTGGGCCCTGAAAATAGGTCAAAGGAGCCTATTAAACTTTTTCTATCTTTTGTGCTATTCATATTGACCCAACTATGAAAAACTCGGCGTCTCGGTGGGACCCACGCAGTAAGGGGGAAGGCTTAAGTACAGCCAACGCTCTAACCACCTGAGCTACGAGGCCCCGCCGGACGACGCGAGTTTTATCACACTTGGGTCAAGTTACCGGCCCAAACTACTGCAACGTCTGGAATCCACCAAATCTGATACAGTAATTTGACTGCCCAAACAGGGCAGTTGATAATATTGATAATCAGGTGCTGATCGTTGTGGGTTACTGGCTCCTTTTCTGTGATCGATCAGGAGAAATTGGTAATGAAATTTCATGCAGCTAATGAAAATTATTTATTACCAATAGGATTAAATAATTTCCTATCGGAAGCACACACTAACAATTTCGACGTATTGAACCATTAATATAAGGAAACTTGTGAAATCGAAATTCGATTTTTTGTGATAAACTTTTGCCAAAACTTGAATTTAAGCACCCATAAACTCCAAATATGAGTGCGATTGCCATCTGCAAACTGGCGGAGCCTCCAACATATCAATCGAAATGCCTTTGGACAGAAGTTATCCTCATTCACCCTGGTACCGTTATCCGGGTTGGGGCTTTAAATATAATTTTGATGTGACATGCCGTTTCAGTTATTTTTGGAAAATTAAAATCGACGGTGTACCATTTCTGTCCAGTTCGATTAAAAACCGAGACCAAGATCTGCTCAAGTACCCGTTTGTTTATGTCCACCTCGCGAGCCGGAAACTGTCGCCCATCTTCTCAGCCCACCCGCAGTTTATCTTGTAGAATTTGTTTAATTTCTTCGATTAATGAAGGGGCCCTGTACTCCCACGATCGCGTCATTTTGAGTTTTCTTCAATAGAACATGACTGCTTCTGAAGGCATTAACGCGCAGTAAATGGCAACTTATTCCGTTACAGCGCACAGCATATTCGTTCCACCTGACAAAACAGCTGCCTAGGCTCTTACCCGTGGTAAAAGGGTTCTGGAGCCCCTAACATGCAAAACTGTACTACTGCAAGTGTTACTCGGCAATAGAAAGAGCACTACCCGTCTACTGCGTTGATTGCCCACGAATCAACAGATCGTTCATTGACCTGCTTCATTGTGTCTATAAGCACGCCGCTTAATTAATTCCACTTTGAACAACCAAAAGCCCAAAATGGAACGTTTGCGCAGCGCGTGACTGGCGTCAAAACCGAAGTAACGGCCCCCTTTTAGCATCCTGGGACTCCAGTGTGCGTGGGCTTGGATTTCCGAGTACTTGCGGGCAGCCTAGCCATATTTTATGCTGTAGAGGGTGTAAGTTAGCGCCTGTGAAGGCAGCCTTAGATTGTATTCGCAAAAGCACCAAGCCCCTAGCTATGCCCTTTAAATGTTCCTGCATAGATCGGCACATTTTCAACTGCGTTGTCGGACGAGGAGCCCGTCTGTTCGGTTACTGTAGAGAACATATTTGTCCCGTCTTGCCTCGGATTAAAGCGAACTCTGGGGGGACTCAACGTCACCTCTGAGTTATAAAGTTTTATGCAATTGTCAGTCGTCTAACATGACAGCTCGTTGTCGTAAACGTACATTTCCACCGTACACCACACGGATTGGGCACCTAACCGGTGATTTATGCGTAGATCAGTTTACGAAATGGCAGACTTGCGCAGCATCTACTAAACTTCCTCCTCCATAGTCCACTTTGTTCCGATGGTAAGATACTATTAAGACGATCGGTGTTGAGGGTCGACACACTGGCTGAAAGGCCTAAACGGTCGGTCTACGCGGACCACACACGACCTGATATTCACAGCGTGCACCGTTTTGTAATAAGGGTAGCTCGAGGCTCACAACAGAGAGAGTTCTGTGAGAGCCCTTTCAGCCCGAATGTTGGTTTTCCAGTTGGCTCAAAATACTTCCAAGGGGACAGATTTATCCCATCGGTTATAAAAGCTCCAAGATAGGAAAAAGCTCATCGTGATTGATTTGAGCGCGTCAGTTTTAATACAGACGGACCATGTGCGTGTGCCACACATGAAATGCTCATCCCTTCGATTACCACGCACACAGGGCGTGGCCATTATTGGCTGCAATGCCTTGACACTGAAGTCGTACTTTGCTCGCGCCAGTGGGAAATTTGATCGTTTAAAACCATACTACTTATTCCTTTAAAGTAGCAATGTATGTGTGAGTGACGTAATCTGAACATTTTTTACAAAACCTAATTTAACACATTCGAAGTTGCTTAAAATTCGCCCATTTTTAATTCAACTTTGTGTCTACTTCCTTCTTGACTTCACGAACTAGGTCGGGTGTTAATAACTTCTGCGCCGTCGCTCTGGCTCTATGGGACTTTGGTCACAAAGCGGTGGGCGTTAGGATCGACAGCGGTGATTTGGCCTACCTCTCCACTGCTGTGCGCAAGAAGTTCTCGCAGGTTGCAGATCAGTATGTTCCACAATTTCCCCTCTCCCGACCATATTACTTTTCATATTTCTCAAGCTGGATCCTGTATAATAGGCATTTAAGTCATTGACAGACACTTTGGTGAGAGTTTGGTATGTAATCCACCTTGGATTTGGTTCATAGCGGTTTTTCTGACAATAGGTGTAGAAGGGGATTGTACAATATGCGGACTTTGACCTTCACTAGCGTTAACGACGTTGCTTTTCTCCGTATTTGAGTCAAGATTACGGTTAGTGTCAGAACATGGGTTATTCTTAGGGCAAGGGTTGTCAGGTTTGGGCTATGGTTCGGATATGGGATTGAAACTATAATTGGGGTTTTCGGTTTAGTGGTTAGGGTTTAAAGGCCTGGTTTAGGGTCCTGGCTACCTCCAACTCTTTCTTAAGTGCTTACGGGTTAAGGTTTAGGGTTACCCATTATACCCATGACCACGGTTGGCATTAGGGTTGAAGTTAACTACAGCAGCCCCGGTGGGGTTTCATACAGTGACGATCGAATTTGTTCGCTTTCGATATTTCCAGAATAAAGGGATGGGGGTTATTTCTTTCTTCTTCAGGATCTGCCGAATTTTCACCATTTTCCGCCCACATATTTTTGATTTTTTTAGATCTTAAAAGATTGATTACCTGATTTAAATTTACCTCAATGTCGATGATAATTGTCTCCTTCTCTTATGCCCACTGCCATAGATACCATCTACCATGGTTTCGTGATCTCAAGATAATCGTAAGCAATGATCTGGACGAGGACACCATTCTTTCTCTTTATCAACAGGTGGGAAAGTCTTGGGATGGTTTTCCTTATTCAACTGCAAAATCTACTCGTGCAATTTATGCGTTATCGCTAATATTGCTAATGAAATGAAATAAGCTGGTTAACAAATATAGGAAGTAGGTAAATCATATACCACCGCGCATACTCTGGGTCGCCTGTAACAAGTTCTAGTTCGCCAATACAGCGCAGTATTTGAGAAATAAAAACCGGACAAGTAATTCAGTTGTCCAATATGCTGTTAACATTCTATGCTGACCAAAATTTATACCCCCGAGTCTTCGTTTGCATTTGGAATGCAACCCCTATATGCGCAACCAATCCGATGACGATGTTTTTTTAGAAAGCTAGCCAATGCACAGACCAAACCTCCATTGTAACAACCCGCTGCAGTACGATAGGGCAGTCTCTTGCATATAACGTCTAGTCTTTACTCAGCATCTACTTGAGATCCGCTCCTGTGTTAATTTAAATCTAAATCACTTTTTTGATTGGTCGTCGCGGGCACCGATTTAGGGCCACTCGATTGATGTGTTTGCGGTCGGGACACAACTGGTAACCTGTCAGAAACAATCGGCTCTGGGCTGTGTATTCAAACTGGTGGAGATCAACGGAGTGCCTACGGCAAAACTAAGTGAAAACGTCCTTAAAATGAACATTCCAGGGCGGAAAATGGCATACCGCCTATTCGACAGCAAAGGTAAGACCTTCGGGTATCCTAAGTATCAAACCTCGCGGAGGCCTTTTTTGCTGAATACAGCTTTTTTACGGATTTCTCCCACTAGGTGTGGCATTGCTCGATCTTACGCAATCTGCTGACGAGGAAGAACCAACTGTTGGAGAACGCGTCCTCTGTCGAAGCGCTTATCATGCTGCAAAATTTGTCGAGATAATTCCATCTTCCGTCCGAAAGCTGCACATGGTTGTCTGGAAGGACGGCAAAGTAAGTCTGCCTACTCACTTTTCCTGCGGCCTTCGACTGCCCTTGCTAGTTGGATAAACAGAAAGTACACGCTGAGCAGAAGGTGTTACATCGAGTAAAAAATTACTTTGTACTTTTAAAGCAGGCGTAGACAGCAGAATTTATTAGAACCAATAGACGGCCTATCAACTGCAGCCTGTCGTTTCATAACACAGATAACAAGTGAGAAAGGTACAGAGGGTTGAACTTTCACAGAGAAAATCAATATAAAACAGCAAGGTCATCGTATCCTGCATGTACACTAATCAATAGAATGGTAACTTGAAAATGCACTTGAAATGGGGAATTTAACACGCCGAGGGAGTTCGTAAACAAAAGGGCTCAGATCTACCAGGGCAAGCTAAGTTTGATCACGTGGTCTAACTGTTTACATATGTCGGGTTTCTCCTGCCGTATTTAGGCTGTCTCCAGGTAGCACAGTAACTGAGTTGTTCATGCTCTAGCTAATACTCGAAAAGATGTTTTGGGGTTAACCGAATGACCGTTAACAAGGTGTTTTGTAATAGAAGACCGTGGAATCTTATTCTTCCAAAGAAGCCATTTAGGCAGGCGCTCAACTGACCTGGCTGCCAGTTGCCTTTGCGTTCGCCCAATGTACTTGCATCCACAATTGCATCTGAATTCGTAAACACAATTTGACGTGGCGTTAAATGGCAAGGCATCCTTCGCCCGTGGAACTTGGATGACCTTAGTAGGGCTGCAGAATATGAGTTCAGCTGAGTTGTATGTACCTTTCTCACTTGTTATCTGTGTTGTGAAACGACAGGCTGCAGTTGATAAGCCGTTGCGAAATTTACTGGTTCTAATAAATTCTGCTGTCTATGCCTCTTTTAAATTCATTCCGGGGAAATATTGCTTCAACTTTGTACTTTGATGAGGAACCAGAGACGTGCCTTCTCCTCTTTCCCCACCAACATCTAGGTTCATGAATATTTACCGGTATACCTTCAGTTGCAGCAAGGAACTGCAGTAACTTACTTTTGGTATGTCTTGAGCAGCCTAGATGATAGCCCTTAATAGGCAGCCCTGACTCCAGCTCGGCGCTAGATGACCTGGAAGTACAGTCCGGAGTTTTTGACCAATGAGTTTTACGCCAGACGGTCTGCCAGTAAGCGACACACTAGCATCGCTGTCGGTTGTTCGGGAGTATGCTAATTCCCCTTGAGCATCATCCCCTAATGCATCAAGGCTATTCCTACGCCATCATTGTTCTCTCATAGAAAAACTGTTAACGACATCTCCTGTCTGCACCTGCATTGCCGGATCCTCTTCTTCCGTTCTACCAGGTAACCTGCACCGTACCCAGCCTTGAAGATATTCGACGTCGGGTGAAACAAAGCCTTGCCGAACTGAGACCCGATCACCGACGCCAACTCAATCCAACACCCTACAAGGTCTCCTTGTCTGAATCACAGTACCGCCTCACACAGGACACTTGGATCAGTCTGGCGCCAAGGCTGGTGCTGCGTTAGCGTCTTCTGAGACTATTTTTCAAATTGAGCCCCCTCCCCCACCCCCTCCTTCCGCTCTTTTGAAGTTTACTACAAAAAACCGACCAATTTCCACACACGATTAATCGGATCCCCTATTTATTCGCCCTAACTGGCATCACTTCCAAGGCGATAACAATCCGTAGGTTCTCAGCAAAAAATGAGTTCGCGCCAGTAGCCCGGAGCAGGAATATTCGCTTGTCTCTGAATTGTGCTGTTTGTGAGATCTTTTATCAACACTTATATTGCTCAAAAGGCTTATCCCATTTCTCGCTGGCGTATCATTGTTGAAGCCTTAGAATTGTATTCAGGAAGCACTCAAGAGAGCTGCGACGATCGATATTTGATCGCAACTATGAATGAGAAGGGCAGTTATTCCTCCCGGCTGCCATGGAGCAGTAATTAACAATTTTTATTCCGCCATTTTAACACGTCGCCTGACCGAAAGGCAAACATGGCAACACCTCAATCACTGGCTATTTTGTTGTCAACGGTGCACCAGTTTGTTGCTATACGTTGTGCGGTGTCTAAGCCTGTGAATCGACAGGCCAACGAACACAAATATTCCGGGTCGAATCTTGCGAAAGGGTAGACTCTTATAGGGCAAAGTGTTGTACTTAACTGCTTCCGAAGCCAGTCCTGAACCAGCATGATCTTCTAAGGCTTTTCCTACCAACGTCGTTGCCAAAAAATGATATGAATTGGACGACACAGAACTTGACAGGGATGATGTGAGGTGGGTGTTGTTCACTGGATAAGACTGTCGACCATGGACAGAGTTCCGGGGACTGAATTTAAATGTAGATCATGTTAGGCGGCAGATGGGGTCGATAAAAAGAACAAGTACCAACTAGGACTGGACACTTCCGGCCAAACGACGACCACGAACCTATTCCTGCCCTAGGCTAGTCATCCGTTTGCTAATTCAAAAGGGATGGCGTCCACCAAACCCAACCAGCATTGAGATTCAACTTTAGGCATCTCAAAAACCGAGACCCCCAAGGCAGCCGAAACCCAAATCCACCCACATCTACATGAATGTCACCCCAGAAAAGTCGCTGTTCCGGGCTTTCTAAACCAAAGAACTGAACCGCTAAGTGAGTCTCACAATGTACAATTTACAAGGTGGGATAAATAAATAAGGCGGGAGGGGGGTAGGCGTGATTAGGCAGTTATCTTCTGCTTCTTATTCGGTTGATGTTTTGCGTCGACTTTTCTGGCGTGCTTCTTAGGGTTCATTCCTAGTTCACCATTCAGCTTTCTGGCATTTGAATCGCCCTTCATTTTCCCCGCGAACTTCTTCTGGGGCTTCTTCACTTTCAGCCCCCTTTTACTATCACCACTGTCCGCGCGATCGCCAGCGTCCCGAAAAGTGCTGTTTGGCTGCAGTTTCCGTCCGGGTTTCCCGGGATCCGCATGAGACGACTTGCTGTGGGCCCGCTTTTTCGACATTTTTGTGCCCTTAGTCTTCACCGCCTCCTCCTCATTCTCATCTCCAAAGTCTTCGAGCCTAAAGTCCGTCAGCTGATCGGCATCCTCCCCCGAATGCTCCGATGCATCGTCCACCTCCTCATTCAGAGCCGCCTCCAGATCAAAGTCGGAGTCCTCGTCACTTGACGCGACGGCCACAGCCTCACTCTGTTGTTCGGCCTCATCCGGCGAGTCCTTGTGCTTCTTTGAGCGGGAGATGTGTTTTATGGTTCGGCCATCGTCCAGGTCGTAGGAGGCGTCGCTATCAGTGTCCGAGGATTCACTCTCTTCCTCGTCATCCATGTGTCCCGGCATCCGTCGAGCCTTTTTCTGCATCATCTCCCTGGCCTTTTTGTCCGACTTATGATCCCCAGAATCCAATGCGGTGTTCTAAAAGAGGAGAGAAAGGTGGGAGTTGGATAGTGAAAAGAAGGGAAGGTAACATCGGCAAAAAGATCAGCTTACAGACTGACGGTCACCCGTGATAGGACTGGAAGAGCGAAATAGAAGTCGGACAGCAATGGCCCGTTAGACTCGTACTGCAATGTATGGCCGGATCACACCTTTAGTGCCCGTCTTACTACCAGGGCATTCTTCAAGTGGAGATTTGTTCACTCGACAAATACTTCTACTTAAACGTACACGGTAGCGTTAATTTAGAATTCTAAAAAGATCAGAACACAGCTTACGATGCAGATGACTTTTATGGCACTGTGATGCGTAGTTTGAATATTTTCCCATCGATGTTAAATAAACCAGACGCAGAAGACTGTCAAACACGTAGCTGGCTATTCGGTAATTAAACGTCTTGGGAGTACGCTCAACAATAATCCTGAAATTTTTCAGTTGTAGCGCTTCCTTCTCATGGACATCGAGGAATACAGAAAATCTGCATATTTTATAAACACAAGCGACCACATTTCGCAAAACGAGCACACCGACTAAATTTGTACACCACGTCGATGGACGTGGTTCGAAGTAAAAACGGCCTGCGTCTTTCGCTTGCTAACAGTTCGACCGTAATGCCCGATGATGGCAACAGCAGGTTGAGGGCAGAGATGGTGACTTGCGCGTGAGCTAGTTTACAGTAATAGCACACTTGTGCGTCATCCACCACAATGCCTCCTCCGTTTCCACCCGGGACAAGGGCAGAGGCAAGAAGGGACGCCGATGGCTGACACGGCGGAAACCTGCACCCAGACGTACCACCACACCCCCCTGGTATACAACGTACATTGACCAGGATTTTACACAACGAGAACAAAGGAAGGGCAGCTCGGGTCCCAACCGGCACGGCGAGGGTCTGCGCCTGGGCGCGTTGTCACCCCTCCCCACGTGTTAGCCTTTGCTATGAGCGCGCATCCCAAATAGCGTCTGCCGGACCCCGACGTGGCCCCGTGTTGGTCCAGGGCATCTACCGCGTGGCCCGCTTTAGAGGCACAAGCCTGAATTAAATCGTGGTGATAGTGGACTTGCGCTGCATCTACTGCACTCTCTCCACATCCCACAACGGGGTCCAGTGTCGAGGCAGAATCAAGAAATCCGGAGGTGAGAGAGGACGCGCAACTCCACACAAACACAAGATCCGAGCTATCCCGTCAGTTGGCAACCTTCCAAGCCACGGCTTTTTGCGCACCAAGATAGAATGGTAGAGGAGCGCTCACCGATCGTGCTACGGAATTCACTCGTCCCGTTGTGCCAGGTGTGCAACACCTGGGGCTCGATCCCGCGACCTGTTGGTTAGAAGTCACACACTCCTAACCACTGAGTCACAGCCCCAGATGTTCCACACCCCGAGGTTGGGTATTGCTGACTGACGACGACCGACGGGCCAGAAGTGGCCATTTTAGTCTCCCTTGTCTTTGACGGTAATGCTATTCTGCCTTCAAACGCGTCAGATTGTTTAAGAGGAAGAAGAGTGAGCTGAGACGTTGACCTCACTCTCTCAGCCCACTCCCGGGCGCCAGTCCATTGTCCGAGCCGGTCAGATGTCTGATACCGGAAGTGGGCGCAGTGGCTGACAGAGGGTCTGTCTGCGCGTGCTACATGTGTGATCTGCCCTCCCCCCCCCCAAGCACACACATCCTGATTACGCACGAACAGAGGGGGGGGGCAGAACGCTCGAATCTTACATGAGAACCACACGGAGAAGGGAGCTGAAAAGCACACTTTTCATTTGCGTGAGAGGTGCCAGTGATGCGCGACGTTGGAAGGATGGCCGGATGGCACGGTCGAGCCCGCACCTTGGTATTCCACTCCACACCCCCTGGTCCACAACAAATACCCAACCAGGATTTTCACTACTACTACTACGACTACTACTACTACTACTGCTACTACTACTACTACTACTACTGCTACTACTACTACTACTACTACTACTACTACTACTACTACGACTACGACGACTACGACTACGACGACTACGACTACGACGACTACTACTACTACTACTACTACCACCACCACCACCACCACCAACATGCGCAGGATCTGAATATTCAGCGGGAACGCAAGCCCATCTACCGCCAGAGAGCCAGGTACCGGAGGACCGCCAGCACACACCAGGCTGCAAGGGCCATTGTTTAGCAGACGCTCATGAACTTCACAAGATATTTCGGTCTCGTCAGAATGCCGGCGTTTAAACGAATTTTTTTTTCGGTTGCTTGCAAAAAGAATGTCCTGTAAAAATTAAGACTTGGGGAGTAGGCATTTTTCCTATTGATTTTCGATGGCCTTATACATTCAAATATATTTTTATAGAATACATGCAGAAAAGTACTTTCCTTATGCCCAGCTGGTAACAAGTAACGCTTTTTTTCAGTTTTTAAGCTCAAAGAAAGGTGAATTCAGGGGGTTTTAGAGAGTTTCTAATTATGAGATTTTTGAGATCGCGAATTATCCACACAAAAGGCGGTTTGTAAAGTATACAACATGGTCCACATCTACTGCGAAATTTTACGAACCCTATATGACTTCTTTCTAATGCGATGTATAAATGCCTGATTTCCCCTTACGGGAAAATATAGTTTGCAGTTTGGAAACTCTGAATGCATGCGCAAAGGCAGAACAGGTTGGAAATTATTCGGCAATCGAAGGGGCTTTTTAAAAGCGAGATATACGCTTTCATCAGGCATAAAATTTAAAGAGCACGCAATTTGCAACAAAATAGATTTGTTGCGCATGTTTCTTATGAGGCGTGGACTTCCAACTAACAGGTCGTCAGTTCGAGCCTCGGGTGTTCCACACTTCGAGATTGGGTATAACTGGCTGACGATGGCCAATAAGCCAGAAATGGTCATTCCAGTCTCCCTTGTCTTTGTCGGTAATAACACACTGCCTATATTTAAATTTATAGAAGCATCGCACTAATTAGGCATTCATTTTTCACAGTGTAGTTTTTGAAAGCCGTCGGAAAGAAGTTCTTGCAAAAGTCGACATCCCGACGTGACTGAAATATCTTCTGATTGTGCTGCGTGACAGTTATTCGTACGACCTCACTTAAGTAATCTTTTCTGGTCAAAGACACATTTCAGAATTTCGGCTAACAATCCATGGGATAGCACATCTACTGCACCTACCAATCCACATAGAAATCAAACCCACGGAACAATGTACGCAGACCAGTCGACTATCTTCAGACGTACGTGCTGGCTCAGATGAACGTCTGGTGGATTGTAAGATCAAAAAGACGAACGCAGCACCCATCTTGTGCTGCAGAACGACAGGGGATGGAACTGGGTGCAAATCTTTGGTGGCGGTGGAGATGGTAAGGGGGCGAGTTGCCAGCGGTGTTCAATCTCCCGAGTCTGATCATAAAAAGGCTTACTCACATTGGAGACTACTTCCTTTTATAGTGGCGCCACGCGGCGTCAAACCGCTACCGACCCTCCGTCCAGGGGAAGGGGTGATGGAGGTGGTTTCCGTCGTGTTTGGATCGTCACAACTACTTCTAGAGGCACTACTGCATATACTACTCGAGAATGCCCCCACTTTCCGACTTCTCTTAAGAGCCAAACTGCTCGCAAAGGTTTGCGCAGACCTGTGCTGAAAGAAAAAAAGCACCCGGAATAGCAACCAGAGAACACAGACTTACCTCATTTTTGAATCGTTCGGCAAGCCCAGTGAGTTCCAGCACACGTGCCTTCCTGTGGATTGCATAGTACGCAAGAAGAGGGCTGTCAGTAGCGGCGGCAAGTCCGGCTTCAACGGCCGCCTGTACGGGGAAGCGCAGTCACGTCATGTCGGTGACGATTAGATGGTCAAAAGTTTGGATGACAGCAGTCGCCAGCGGAGAAGCAAAACGGTGAAAAAGGAGCGTGAGATTCCGAAACAGACGTGCAAATATGCCCCTAACCAGAACTCTTCCCAGAACGAAGAACTCCATGAAATGGGGGTATGCGGGTGAGGTTGGTTAGTGATAATGCTGTTATAGGTGACAAGTTTATAGCGCTGATTCTGCTTATGCTAATGACACGGGCAATGTCTGAAAGCAATCCCCTCCTCGTCAAATGTAAATGGAACGAAAGGAATTGCCAGGCTGTTTGGAACACCTTTCACGGGGAAATTATGCACGTCAATCAGAAGGATTTAACAAAGCCAATTGTACCGCGTGAGAAGATGTAAATAAATGTGCCATTTTTTCTTAATCTCGCTTCCTCGGCACCTGACTGAGTTAGGGTATGGGGAGTACCCCCGTATTCTGTAAAAATATTTCCCGTCGTCAAAATCCAAAGAGTCCGAACTGATTGCTGTACGGGTGTTCGTGAGCTATCAGCTTCAGGATCGCCACCTAGCGAACTGAACACTTTTCAGAATCATCTGTATATTATAGTGGGAGCAAACGTTAATTCAAATAACTTAAAGCCGCGGTACACATACGTATGATAACGCAATTAGTTCTGTTGAAAAAAGGAAAATCCGATTGTTGGAGCAAAAATCTCATCCGTCCGACGTTTCGGACTCACACTCAGACACATCGTCAGACAGTAACAGGGCGGCTGTCGAGTCAATATTACACCAAGAACCAATGCAAATGGCGGCAATTAATGCCTCAGATGCGGACAATCACATAATCACTTTTACCACGTACGACCATCTGTGATGAATGCGGAAGCTGCTGTTTTCGATGGCCATGTGATGGCATAGCGACTGCATTCTGTAGATAATCCAACCCCTGTGCACCCACCACCCTGATCTGTTGCTCATGATTGGTTCTAGTGTGGTGCCGGCACTGCGGCGGAAAAAATCATCGTTTCCGAGACCGAGTCTCCCGCTTTTTAACTGTCTCCTGGAACTCAACCTTTCGCTATCATCAGCAACGACCTACGGTGAGTAGTCTACCTTTTGAAGTGTTAGCCGAATTTCAGAAGTGTGTTTTCGATTAGGAAGGATTGCTTAGGCGGGGTCGTAATATTGATTATCACGCGACATAATCCTATGGTATTTTGAAATTGCCAAAATGTTGGCTTTTGAATGCACTTCCATTCGACTTCTTATCAAAATCGCACTCTGAAAAAAATAACCACTTAAACAGTATGCATTTTTCACATTGATTTTCGACAGCCTTATAAGTGCAAATATATCTTTTTATAGTAAACATGCACAAAATATGCTTTCTTTCACTAATTTGGTAGAAATTCGCGCTTTAAAAGCTTTCTAATTCTCGAATAATTTTGGGTCAGGTCAGCCGTTATATTAGCGTCTAGCGATTTCAGTCCACAAAGTGTATCCTTTCTGCGCAGACAAAACCACGTATGAAGGCGAAATTTCGAGTTCCAGGTGTATGCATAAGTGAAGAAGAAGAAGAAGAAGAAGAAGAGGGGCTGAGCACCGGAACACTTTGTTTATTTTCTTCAGCTTTCGGACGCGTGCAGGAGTCCATCGTCATATATATCTCGATGCAAGTCCGTAATACCATAGGATTATGTCGCGTGATAATCAATATCAGGACCCCGCCTAAGTAACCCCTCCTAATCGAAAACGCATTTCAGAATTTCGGCTAACATTTTATGAGATAGGCCACTCACTATATACTGCTTTTTGCTTGTGCGTGAGGCAGTTTAACGAAAATATGGCGCACGCCAAATATCAATCGCGTAATTCGAACGGAGACTCATGTTGAGATGATAGCCCGGTAGGAAAACATTAATGGGAGACTTAGTGGCCACAGGGAGGTAATAAAGAATCTTTTTGCTGACATGTGCCTAATCTACCAGTCAGCTCAGTTTTCTCCAAACCTTGGTCGGTAGGCCCGTGTACCGATGGGCGAATTAACGATTGGTGCAAACAAACGTGAAAGGTCTGGGTTAATGAAGGCCAGAGGTAAGGCACAGATGTAAATGTGGTGGGATCAAGGCAGACAAAACTTACGATAGCCTGTGAATCCGTCAGATTTTTGATGCTCGAACGTCTCTTCCTCACGAAGTCAGCGTGTTCATTCACCTTCTTAACGAGGACTTTGAAATTACGCGTAAAGTTGGCCACACGGCAGGTTTTGAGGAAGGTTCGCATCTGTGGATAAAGCACGTGTTTAAAATCAAACGCTAGTACGCTTTCAGAGCAAAACTGTCAATGTTGGTCAGGAGCTACAAGCGATTGTTGCAGGAAATATTGGTAGTAACCATTAAAACGCGTTCTGTGGTCAATATTGCATAGAAGTGACACAATAGATCAGATTACTGTCTAGCAGACAAAGTACGACTTTGTGGTTAAAATAAATGCTATTTGTGGAATATCCAGTAAACTTCCAGCATCCCGAATATCTGTATGTATTGAATGCTCATCTTTATGAAAAAGGTTGTCAGTACTTGAATATGACCCGCCCTCAAGTTGAACAGTTCGCCCTCATTGCGACCAAACGGACAACACACTTCGAATTGTTCAGGTATTCAAGACAGTTTTCAACCCCTTCCAGCTTTCGACACAGTGGTTATCGGCTCACTCCGACGCCGTCCCCTCAATGGAAACGGGGAACCAAAGATCACTTAAAAACTGTCTTGAAACAGCTAATTAAGATGTCGAGATGGTTTTTGAAACCTCGGAGCATCGCTTGCGTCTACTGCCACAGATTACCGCGCGTGTGAACACATTTTGTGGTATAAAATCGAGACGAGTTGAGCTGGGCAGGGATAGAAAGCGTGCACAACTAAAGAAATAAAGTATGGCCAGGGCTGCATGCAATTACAAGCAGTAAATGAGACGTACACTAAGAAATAAAACAAAGGGTCAAACGATAGCGAGTGGACCTTGTTTAATGGCAGATGTCTAGAGAAAGCGTGAATGAGCGACCAAAAAAACCGTGTCAATAGTAACCGCAATTTGAATGTTACCTCAGTGACAGCCGGAATGCTGTACTCAGGGAAGGCAACAGATCCCGCGTAGAGAGTGAGAGCTTCTGTCAGGAAGTCGTGCAACCAGGAGCAAACAGCATCCAGGCAGGCCGTTTCGCGTCGCTGACTGGGAGAAAAGTGCAACATCAGTCTCAGGTCCATTGGAGAGCTTGAGGCCATTGAGGAGCGCTTGTTGAAGTCGAAGAGACGAAAAACGTCCAGGAGGAGAGGAAGGCTTGGAACTAGACTGGTACCAAACGGCGACACACTGGTAGCGCCCGCAGATCCGTCCTCCTCGGAAAACTGGTTTCGCAGTTGAGTGACACCAGCAAGAATGTGAAGACATTCGACACAGTGAAATCGAAGGGCTATCCAACGACTTCCGGGACTTAGACTACAAGTTAAGAACGGTTTTCATCAGTGTGAGAACGAAAATAAGGCCTCCGGCAGAGGAATATGCGACTTCATCCTTCATTGCAATAGTAACAGCCAGTAGTCTTTCGATTTTAATGCAGACAAGCGGTATGAGTCTAAAATCAACGGTCTTTAAGATAAAAGTCGGGTGTCAATCAGTGAATCACATGGCTCAAGAACGCTTTCATTTGCTTAACACGTACACATTGTGGGAAGTGGTGCCTCACTGGGAGGAAATCGCAACATGTAAGTTTGAGTTGCGTAACAAACATGGACTAACATGCCTACGAGCCTCCATAGTTTGGGGACTTTTTCCAAAAGATCAGGACAAATAAAAAGATATGAGAAATTATAAACAAATGTGACTATCGGGTGAACAGACAAAGTTGGAATTTCAGACCATAAAGATCCCAACCTTGCTCGTACTTGTATCGGATATCACCAGCGCACCTGCGGCCGGCTACAGCCCACGGCATCACGAACCAGTGTGACCTATGCTCTGAGATTGTCGGCAAAGCCTTCAACACTTGTTGTTAGGTTGTTTTAGTGACGGACACGGAAGACAATTGAGTTAAGTCAAGTGCCGCGTGTTGCATCGATAAGTTGTCTGCCGAAACTTTGATAAGTAAGCGCAAATTGGGCGACTGGTGACGTTCTGGTGAGGGTGACCGACTGATTCCCGCCTTTAGAGTGTTCGGCCATTGCGAGCGCCACCGAATGAAGCGTAGGTGCGCTGTAACGCGCGGGTGGCCTGAGTTGCGACGGCAACCTGCAATATATTCAGCGGTAAGTTCACCAGGGCTTGCAAAGATCAGCCACCCTTAGAATTATCCGGTCCGAAGAACCAGCTTCAGGCGCAATCAGCTTACAACCTGAGCCGAATATGCCAGTCCCAGGTTCTATTTGTAAAGAACTGTTGCGCCACCAATTTTCCCTCCGGCGAAACCAAGGAACTGACAGCCATTATGTCATCGATTGTCGGGGGAAACGCGGTTTGTCAGTTCAGTATTGACGGCGTGCTCGCCCGAGTTATGTGCGAAAATGCTGTCCTGTGACTCTGCTTTCCCACCGTCACCAGGGTTGAGTTTAGAGACGTAAACCGTAACCGCCCTTACGTTGGCAACTACGCGGGTGAGGGACGAGGCAGACTTTCGTGCAGCGCGAATTCGATAAGTCTACCGCAGTTTCCGTACGCAGCATTGCAACAGTAGTGGCAGACAACGCCAGATCTGGACACTAAGTAGTATTTTGCTAAACTCAGACAGAAGTAATGCCAGTGGTTGTGCGCCCGAATCTATGTCAATGCATACTTCTCTGCCGAAAAAAATCAGTTCTGATGCCTGGACCGCGAGTGCTGGTGGAGGTCTGCATGCGTTAGTTCCCGTGGAAGACAAAGCATAAATAGTAGTTTGTAGCTTGAGAACATTAGTAGAATGTTAAGAAGACACGATACATGCGAGGTCGGCACATGGATAAATGACTGGTCTGTGGGAAGATGGGGATTGATGAGACCTATGAGAGCAATAAGAGTTGCCAAGTCGCAAAACCGCTTTGGTTGGATATTTAATGAGGAAAGAATTCCTCATGGATACTCAGTTATGTCTGAAGGCATTGACATTAAACAGTTCATGAGAGATTGCTCGTCAGACTATTGTACATAAAGGCCGTTCGAAAGACCATTTTGTTATCTGTCATCCGTGGCTGCCAGGCAGATCTATTTTCCTTGTTTTCACTCAAAAAAGATTGCCAATTTGGACAAAAAAATTTGGCAAACACAACTCATAAAGATGCTTACCTAACGGTGCCCAGGATGACTTGTACAAGTGGATGGACTAGACTTTGAATGAGCTCCGATGAACTAGCATTCCGAGAGACGAATTCCGACCAAAATCGTAGACTGCAAACAAACTGCCAGTTGTAGACTGCACGTGTGTCCTCCTAGAAGCAGAGTAAACCAGTTGTGCAAGTAAGGATTTTAAATGCATTAAGCAGGGTTTCCAGAGCCATTGAAAGAAAGCCAAAGATAATGCAGGATGTCCTTCAAAATCTGACATCATTTCACCACCTAAGCACTAACTAAACTGAAATATTTTAAATTTTACCAGTGTGTCTATAATTCAATACATTAAAAAAAACTAACCTTTCGTATGTTTACTACAACATAAAAGTCGTCTTGTGTGTTGAAGTAAGCCAAAACTCAGTCAAATGTGGAGGCATCACGTGTATCTGTTTTGAGATTCCATAAACAAGCGCCATCCGGGAGGTAACTTTGGACTTGGAGTAACAAGTTTCAAAGGAAGGCTGTTTATGCCGAAAAGGAGGATCTGCGCGGTCAGCAGTTTCAGAAGAGGTGAACCAAATACACAAAGCGAAGTGCGGCAGGAAGTCGACTAACGACTTGATGTGTGCCGCGTCACAAGTGGCGCACACACAGAACATTTGTACTAACTTTGGGAAATTTTAGAATTACCATTCACGTAATCTTTTTCCAGGAAATTCGTGGAATAAAACTTCACATTCACAAATAAGCCTATTAAGTGTCATGTCTTTTCAGTAAATATTTACTTTCATATGGACATCTCGAATGATGTCAAATGTTTGGGGACACTCCCATACTAGAAAGGCTGGATCATTTACATCGCCAAGTTCATAAGGCACAACGGAACGAGTGAGTTCCGTATGAACGATCGGTGAGCGCCCCCTAACAGCATCGCCAAGTGCCCAATGTAAGAACCGAAAGTACGCTCCACGTGCGGCGTACACATAGGCAGGTGTTTACGACACTTAAACATGTAGTTAAACATGTCGACGCAACTAAGACTGACCTCAGATCGTTCGAGACTAATAAATTCGCGAAATGCTTAACAAGGAATCGGAAACAAAACTAGGCTAGTCATGGCAGTCCAACAGGAAAACGCGATTTCGCTGAGCACAGGTCACTAATGAAGACGTGTGTCCTTTCGTTAATCTAGTGTGCCCAAAATCAACTATGGAAGGAACAGAAATTAACGTGGAACATATTAGGATGAACACGATGATTTTCGCAAATATGAGGCGAAATTTAATACAGTTTCATAGGTACCTTGCTCGCTCGAAGGAAGGCTTTTCTAACAGTAATTGCCAACTGCCGAATAAAAACAAAGGCGTGCTTGTAGGCCTCGTTCAAGTCCAGAGAGTAGAATTCGAGAAGTCCATTTTTCATGAAGTTGTTTTTCCCGATGTTGGAGCCATAAATAAACTTGGAACTTTTCACGTACACAAGGTACATTCCCTAGTACACATATAAGATGAAAACAAGTTACCCTTGAGCAACTACTAAAGTAGTCCGGGTTCTTTTTTACGGCTTTCATTAATATAATCAGGGCGAGAACGCGTCGAGAATCATCATCCTGACTCCAGACGACGCACATTCTCTGAAAACAAAGTTGAGTTCATAAAACCAAGGAACCTTCAACAGCGCTTGGAGTAACTTAGGGTACTTGGAGAACTTCCCAATATGATTGAGAATCTTCCTCAGATCAAGTACGCTCTCTTCTAACATCGCCTTTAGCTGACCCTAAAAAATCAGGCCTGATGCATGGGGAAACAAACCATGGCTGTAGGTCCGGATGCTATCGGCTAATTAGAAACTATTATGGGACGAAAGTCGATATCCGACAACAAAATCAAGCCCAAAGTACAAACGGTAGTAGAGCGGACAAACGTATGCTAACCAAAGCGTGAGCTGCAAATCAAATTGACCGCAGTGCATTCCAACCACTTTTAAAAAATTTACTAAAATTCTTGTGGTATCAATATATTCCAACAAGTTAATTGACTTTAACACTTGATGGCTTACGATCGGACAATTTCTTAGGACTTACTTATTGGGTAATTCCTGTTAAGGTGTTGAAAAAAAACTATAAGACAACGGGACGAATGAGTTACGTAAGAACGATCGGTGAGCGTCCCTCGACCATTGTACATTCCCGATCGAAACCGACAAGACAGTGAGCCCGTGGTCCAGTGGTTAGAGACGCTGGACTTCTACCCAGCAGCTCGTGGGTTCGAGCCTCAGGTATTCCACACTTCGGGGTTGAGTATTACTGAATGACGACTGCTAATTAGCCAGAAATGGCCATTCCAGTCTCCCTTTTCTTCGTCGGTAGTAGCATTCTGCCGAAATGAAAACAGTCATACGAAGACATTAGCACATTGGTGAATAATTAGAAATCAAAAATCAGGCCGGAAGATAGAAATACTTTTGGCTTCCGTGTAGGTCCCCCTTAACGTATAAATATTCTGGTGCCTTTGCTTGGGTCTCCGCGGTGTATTTCAGTCCGAAGTGGGCATATCGTTAAGAGCCAAACGGATATTATCTTCACAAACTGATACACGCGTGTGTAATATGGGTTGCAAATTATATATATA